ATCTTCTCTGAGGTTGTTAATAGAAATTGGCTCCTTGCAGAGATGGAGCTGTTGTCCCTGCCTTCCCTCTGGCCGTCTTCCAACTAGTTCCTAGGACTACTCTCAGGTCCTTCCATGTGGTCTTCTTCCTCTTAGTAAAAGAGACTCTTCTTTGTGTCATATCCTCATCTTACCTCACATCTCTGTTTTTCTCTTTTGCAACCAGCAAAGTCATTTTGTTTGAAGGATTCCTGTGGTGTCAGATGGGCTTCCTAGATAATCTCTTTACCTTTATGTCAACTAATTGATTACCTTAATTACATCGACATGAGCACTTTTCCATGTAATGTAAGAGACCATGTGGGTAATTCCAGTATTTGGTCTACTTTGTTGTTTGTGTTTAGGTGCTAATTCTAAAATCTTTCATTCCAGATTCTCTTTTTGTTGAGTATTTTTTTTCTCCAGCATTCTCCATGTTTTACTTGCACTGAATTCTATACAGTGTAAATGTAACATAGTTATGTGTCTGCATTTTATTGTCACCCTTTAAAAACTGTCCAATTTTGTTTTAGTAGGCATAAAGGTACTTGCAGATCAAAATGATCTTTTCCAGGCTTATTCTAAGATTATTTCTAAGACTGTTTAGGGTGAGTGGTTAGCCCTTCCACTCAACTGCAACTTTTCGGGCTCTGTTTTAAGTGCTCCATGTCCTCACCTTCTATTTGGAGTATCAGAATCCAAAAACTGATCTTCAAGTAACTTAATCTTAGCTTTTATAATGAGTAATATTTGTCCCTAAAACTCCTTTCCCCTCCTATCAATCCTGGCCCTAGAATAATGATTGGCACATTTCTGCATGAACTAGTCTTAGACAGAAATTTGCAGTCCATATTCTCAAAAAAAAAAAAAAAAAAACAGAAACAAAATGGAATCCCCAAGTCATCTATGAAGGACCAGATTCTGTGCACCCTGGCTAACTGTATAAAGATGAATGAGATACTGTAGATACTGAATGTGTCATGATTTGTTGTTGTTGTTTTTGTTGTTGTTTGTACTGGAGATTGAACCCACAGCAACCACTGAGCCACATCCCCAGCCCATTTTTAGATTTTATTTAGAGAAAAGTACTCACTGATTTGCTTAGGGTTTTTCCAAGTTGCTGAGCCTGGCTTTGAACTCACAATCCTCCTGCCTCATCCTCTGAAGCTGTGGGGATTACAGGTGTACACCATCATGCCCAGCATGTGTGATGATTTTGCAAATTCAGCATCACATTCTGGTTTCTCTAGTAACAGAACTTGCTTTCTTAAACATTCCCCCCAGTACTAGGATAGAACTCAAGGGTGCTTTACCATTGAGCTACACCCCTTATTTTGAGACAGGGTCTGGCTAAGTTGCCCAAGCTGGCCTCAAACTTGCAATCCTCCTGCTTTAGCCTCCTGAGTTGCTGGAATTACAGGAAAGTGCCACCATACACAGATAGAGTTCACTTGCTATGTAATCCAGGTGTTTATATTTCCTGGCTATAGAAAGAAGGTTGTGCTTGTGACCTCCCTAAGCAGCCTATGGCAGTGGCCACAGATAATGAATCAAGAATGAGCACTTGACTCCAGAAAGTCCTATTAAAGTTTTCATGAAAGGTTTATCAAGTTCCTTACAGTTAGAACACCTTAGGTTTACAAACTATTTTGAAAACAAAATTATTTCAACCAGGTGTGATGGTATGCACCTGTAATCCCAGCAATTTCGGAGGCTAGAAAGGAAGATCGAAAGTTGAAGGCCAGCCTCAGCAATTAAGAGAGGCCCAAAGCAACTTACTGAGACCCTGTCTCAACATTTTTAAAAAGCAAATTCACTTCAATACACACTAATTATCGTTTGAGTTCCAAAAACTGTGCATGATGACTAAAAGGGTAGTAATTTATCTGCCAGTATTCCTGCTCTGCCCAATTTAGGTTTCAGTTACTGTCAGATAAAGGTGGTGTGGAATGACAAAACCAGTTCTGATTCATTCAACACATGAGTGTATCTTAGGCACAAAACACCATTCACAGCATTGTCCCAGGTAAAATAATAAATAATCCCCAGCCCTTACCCTCAAGGATCTTATAACTTGGCAGGGGAAATAAGACTTGCACACAAATGGCTTCACTACAAGGACGATAATGATGGCTGCCAGATGTTTGGGGAGAACTGAACAGAGCAAGGAAGGAACACAGAGTAAGGCAGCATTCCACAGTCAGCTAGGAGATGTGCATTCAGCAAATACAGAATGAGAAATGAAAATGGAGGAGAACAGCACCACCAGGGACATGTGCAGGTGAAAAATCAGGTGGCACTATTTATTACTTATCTCTCTTTTTGTTGTTGTTGTTTGTTTGTTTGTTAGCTTTGTTTTGTTTTGTTTGGGGCATGGAGTTTCTAATAAATAGCCTGAAATTAAAATTAAAAAATGGATGTAGTCTTGGTCAAAGACTGCCTGAGATGCTGGCGCTTAAAAACTAGCACTTGAGTTCCCATGTGTGCCTGTTTGTGGCTTCCTTTGCTGCTTCTTTCCCTTCCAAATTAGTTTGTGCTATCTTAATAGGATAGCATCTCTGGGGATTCCACCTTTTTTTTTTTTCCTGGTATTGAAACAGAAGAACTAGAAGGGAATCTTTGGGGCTTCAAACAACAGAAAGAAAATACTATATAACTGAAAGAGTCGAGAGGCATTCTTTCAAACAGGCCTGGGTCCAGGAGCACAAATGTTTTAATGAAGCTCCAATCTCTTTCTTCCTCTCACTCTCTCACTTGATTTGTCTGTCTGTGTTGTCTGTCTGTCTCTGTCTCTTTATATTTATTTCTCTTCTTTTGAATTTAGATATCTCCCTGTTCATGTGGAAACTGCTGGCACAAAATATGACAGGGTTATACGCTCACAGCTGGGGGACTGGGAGGGAGAAGTAGGTGTCATCATTGCACACTATTGTGCATGGTGTGCATTTACGTAGGAAGTCATCAAATGAAAGGGTGATTGATAGTTACACTGTGTACGAGGGCAGGTTTATATATGAATTACAGCATGGTTTTATGGAAGATCACAGTAAAACATCTTGTTCTTACAGAATCAGAATTGCATAACAATTTCCCAAAAGAGAATCATAAAGCATATTGAGGAAGGGGGACCATTTTTATCTGATTTGTGCAGAAATATGTCTGTGTGATAGTTGGTAACCCTGAGTCTCCACTCTAGGTGCTCCATCTGGGGCTTAACTCTGAATGGCTCTGGTTTGGCTCTGTGCTCATCTTTGAACTCAGCACTTGGGCCAGAAGGATCTGATGCTCTGATTAGCCAGGCCTAGACTGTAGGAAATGGAGTGGGTTCTCAAACCCAAGCTTTGAAATGTGCAGAGGTCTGTCCAAAAATAAATTGATGGACTGTTCCACAGAAGGAGGAAAGTGGGTATTCGGCAAAAGAAAACAAAACAAAAAGTCCTATACACCAGAAAATGTTGCTAATGATCTTTAGCTATCTTTGTGCTGGTTTTCTACACATAAAGGAACAGAGAACATTGGCCTAAAAAGAGCACCGTGGCCAAAGGGACATGGCCTATTTTAACAGAGGATTTGAGAGTTAAAACATAACTTGGAGAGCATCCAGTTCATCATTTTCCAGATGGGGAAACTAAAACTCAAGCAGGGGAATAGAAATGCCAAAGGCACATAGGTAGTTGGTGGCAGAGATAATAAACTACCCATCTTTTGTCCCTCCCAACTCCTCTTAAATACAGTAATACTTTCCCATCATCAACAACAAACATCTGTGTCTGGTTTTCTTTCTGCCCTCAATTCTGTGTAATATGGTTTTGGTGTGCTCCAACAGAAAGTCTCAGCAAGCTTTGAGTTAATCTCCTTGAGTCTACTCTAGTTCCCAAGGACAAAAATATTAAATGTCCTTACATCGGAATGAGAACCACTTGTTGCTTTAATGGGCCAAGTCTTGCAGGAGGGAACACCTATAATAAAGAGCTTCATAATTGCAGTTGCAACCTGCTTTGGCATCCAGACTTTACCCCAGGATCCCCAGTAGAGAAAGAGAAAGGCATTCCTAATCTACAGGGAGACTTATGTGTGTCCCTTTCTCCTACCAGCACCTCTTCCCTGCTGTTTCCTAACCGCAAAAGCTTGTCACCATCTCAGAAACGTCTCTGGAAATAGGTCGGAGGAAGCCTTACACCTGTCAAAGCTAGAGAAGAAAGTGTGCTCTGCGGAGTTCTCAGTTCCATCTCTAGCGACAAAAAGAAGAAAAGCAATGAGTTCCAGGTTTTTGACACAGAGCTGCTGGAGACTGCGGTCAGTTTAGCCAGCTATAGCCCTAGTAACCCCTAAATACCAAGGATGCAATGCTATCTCTAACGTTTGCTCTTGGCTTCTACTTCCCTACAGGCTAGTCCAGTGTCTAGCCCTATGGATACCTCTAGGTAAATGTTTTTTAAATCATGAATCAGACACTGGTGTGTTATAGGTTTTTCTTAGTAAAAACTAGCACAAGGATGAATCAGGAGTAAAGACTAGGGTATCCCAGTGTCACTCCTTCACTGGCTTCTCCTCCTCCTCCTGGTTCCCTCACGTTCTCCCAGAGGGAAGAGCCAAGTCTCCGAACCTAGGGTCTGGGAGCAGTCAGCACCAGTCATCCCAGGCTCATCCCAAGCCTGCTGCCACCTATACCCATAATGTTGGTGTGGGTGTAGGAGGACAAGAGGCTTCCACGGTGAGTTGGGGGCAAGAGCTCAGCCTTCGCCTGCGACCCGAAATCCCTAGATTCCTTGTGGACCATGAAACTCCCATTGCGAGGCAACCTCCCCCCTTCCCTAGCCGCCCACCCACTCCCCCCTTACCTCAGCACGCAGCCCCTCCCTGCGTGATGATGCAAACCAGTGGGGAGGGCGGGCGCTGGGAAGGGTGGGGAGAAAAGGAGAGCAGGCGAGGAAGGGAGGGAGAGAGTGGGAGGAGGAGAGGGAGCCGAACGACCATTTAAAGCGATAGCAATCCCTGCCCTCTCCCCAGTGCTGGGCTGTTCCAGAGCACAAGCTGCAAGCCCCGGCGCGAGCGCGGCGCACTGGCTGGCGAACCCAAGAGCGCTAGGCGCCCCAGGCTGGCGGGCGCCCTGGGACCCCTCACCCTGTCTGGCTGCCCATCCTCGGGCGCCCCCACCTTCCGTGCCTGCAGAAGTCCCTGGGCTTCCCCAAAGGAGCTCACCTCTAGGGGCCCGGACCTCCGGGAGCCCACCACCATCCCCTCCGGTGCCGCCGCCGCCACCGCAGCAGTCTGAGCAGCATGGTCCAGCTGGGGAAGCTGCTCCACGTCCTGACTTTGATGAAGTTCCCCTGCTGCGTGCTGGAGGTGCTCCTGTGCGCGCTGGCGGCGGCGGCGCGCGGCCAGGAGATGTACGCCCCGCACTCGATCCGGATTGAGGGGGACGTCACCCTTGGGGGGCTGTTCCCGGTGCACGCCAAGGGTCCCAGCGGAGTGCCCTGCGGCGACATCAAGAGGGAGAACGGGATCCACAGGCTGGAAGCTATGCTTTATGCCCTGGACCAGATCAACAGCGATCCCAACCTGCTGCCCAACGTGACGCTGGGCGCGCGGATCCTGGACACTTGTTCCAGGGACACTTATGCGCTCGAACAGTCGCTCACTTTCGTCCAGGCGCTCATCCAGAAGGACACCTCCGACGTGCGCTGCACCAATGGCGAGCCCCCCGTTTTCGTCAAGCCAGAGAAAGTAGTTGGAGTGATTGGGGCTTCGGGGAGTTCGGTCTCCATCATGGTAGCCAACATTCTGAGGCTTTTCCAGGTAGGGGGCGGGGGGCGCTCCCTCGGGTTGGAACATGCTTTGGTTCTAGGCGCTTTTAGCTTTAATAGCTGGTTTGGACTCCAGGGTTGCGGGGTCAGGTCGGCCTTCCCGCATTTCCACTCTGGAAATCCCGCCGAATCCCTCTCTCTCCATCCTAGGAGGTACCTTCTCTGCTTGCTTTATTTCCCTTCCATCACTCCCCTGTCCACGCTCCACTCCACCCGACTTGACATTCTGGATTTATGGCCCCATTTACAAGAAGCAATCTGCGAAAAACAAGGCGATGATTTAAATGGGTTTGCATTAGAGTGAAATATGGTCCGAAAACCGGCTTGTAAAAGTGCTGGGCTCCTAGAAAAGCAGGTTAGGCGCATGGATATGAAAGATGAGAAGATGCCTAGAAACTGGGCATTTCCTAACTCCCTAGCGTCCCACCTGGAGCCACCTAGGAAACCTCAACTTCTTTGGAAATTTTTGAGACGACCTTAAGGAGGCATTTCTTAAACTGAGGGGTCAGCTAGATGTGGATGTTAATAGCTTTTCTTTCTCGGGTTGGATTTCCGACCTGTAGCCAGTCTTCAACAGAGCCAGGGGCAGGATACGTGGGGGAACCTCCCCAGTCCTGGAGATGCCACCTGCAGACGTGACCCCCCAGTTGATTTCCTCCGGGCAATTTTTTTTTTTTTTTTTTTTTTTTTTTTGCACCATCTAAATTGCATTTGCAGTTCCACCACTGGCAGGAGCTGGACGATCAGCTTTCTACTCTTGCCACTTAAGACCTCAGCCCAGAGATGAGCTCATGCTAACTGCGAAACAAAATAGCTTTCACTGCCTGCTCCCTCCGCCCCCTCGCCTTCTACCTCCCTAATTCAGCCCCCAACCCCAATCCTGGACTCTGATCTCAAAGGAAGATTCTCAGAGCGAGGCAAGAATGCGCCTGGGGCGGTGGGGTGCGCTTAGCAGGGACCCGAGGTTCTACTCCGGGTTCCGGAGAGCCGCGGCAAAAATGGGAGGAAGGCGGATCCAGGACTGATGAGCGGTGGGTTCTACCGCAGTGCTCTCTCGCCTCCTGTTCCTGCAGCCTCTGCCCCGGGGCTCCAGTGCTGCATTGGGTATAAATGGATAGCTTTGAGCTTCAGAAAATGAGTTTCAGAGTCTCGGCGACAGAGGGTTCTCTTCTCCGTGTTTCTTCCTGTATGTGCATCTATCTCTGTCTCCTTGCTCTGTTTTCCCTCCCTTTATTATTTATTCTCCCCCTCAACCTCTGTTTTTCTCAAGAATTCTTTCTCAGTTGTAAGTTCTCCATTCATCTCTGTCTTGATATGGCCCTTTCTTAATGAAAGGCTCTCTGTGCTTAATGGTACCCAAGCCTGGTTAATCCCTTCCCCAGATATGCTTGATGTTCCTGGCACCATTATGCTGTCCAAATCTGAGAAATTGTCTCTTTCTCAAGAGTTTTCTCTAAGGGTGTGGGTTTCAGGAGGGGACTCCTTGTCAAACTCAGGATGTCACTGCTCACCTCCTTGGGTGCAAAGTTTGTTTTCAAGAAGGGGGGGCATTCATCCAAGGGGGCAGCCTGGCATGGCCCCTCTGGTCCTTAGAACAACCCTGATGCCTCCTGAGTGTACCAGTATAGACAATCTCTAGATGTTTGTAAACCTTAAGTGCTTTGGGGGTAGATTAACTCTGGGTTGCTTGCTTTGGGGGGAAGAACCTGGGGTTTTATAATCAAAACCCAGAAGTACTTCCCTTATCTCTGGGCTCAGTGCTGGACAACTTGAGAGGGCAATGCTTGGGGTGATAACAGCATTTTCCTCTCATTCCTGGGGCTTGAAGGCACATTTTGTGTTTATCATTTTCAAATCATTTTGCTGCCTGTTTCACTCTTCACTCAGAGCATTGGGCCCACTGCAGATGGGCCTGTGGGTCTGAAAAAAGGGAGACACGTTGAAGTCAAGAAAGCCTTTGCAGGTTAAGCTCAGAACTGTTTGCTGGAAAAGATTACAGCAGGAAACAATTCCTCATCTTAGTTTTAGAACCTGAGGCAATTTATGGAAACAAACAGCTGATCTTACAATCAGTTTCCCCATTCCCTGAGCCAGAGAGGAGAGGAACTGAATGCCAGTGTGTACAGTGTGGGTTGGGACTAAAACATTCAAAGAAAACACTGTCATTCCTCTAATTTGCAAATTGCAGCTATTCATGTTGGATTGAACAGCTGAGGGGAAAAGAGCCCCCCATTTTCACCTGCATTTTATTGAGAAGAGGTTGCACTAACTTGTAGCTTGTGTTGCAAGCTAGATAGCCATTGGTTAGCCATTTCCCAAGTTGACGTGTGAGTGTATTTGTGTGTGTGTGAGTGTGTGTGTGTGTTTCTTTCCCAGTGGTTTTTTTTTTTTTTTTTTTTTTTTGTTTTTTGCATGTGATTTCAGAAGCTCCTAGCATGCAAGTCCAGCCCCCAGCTTTCCAGCTTCTGTCAGCCTGCAAAATGAGTAAGGAAAATAATGGTGCACAGACCCCATTGTTCATAAACACAATCAGAGAACGAAGAAAAAGAGAACAAGTGAATCTTCTCTGGGATTCTAGGGTTCAGCTCAATTAAAATTGTCCTATAGAAAATAAATTCCTCCAAATGATTGAATTCTTTACAATGTTTTGAGTATTCATTTTCCCTCTGATCCCTCTGGGTTGCTGGGGTGTGAGGTGAAGCCAAACTAATCAATTGAGGTATAAATTTATGGTGAGCTAAGTCTCTAGCTTGGGGGAGGAAATTCTCTGGGACTAAAGTGTGGGGGTGTTGGGGGGCAGGAGAGAGTAATGAGATAGCAATAGATGTAACAGCTGCTGCTGCTGCTGCTGCTGCTGCTGCCACTGGCAAAGCCTTGGGATGAAGTTCTTTGCTGAAAGTGAGGACCTGGGTTTGAATGACTACTCAGATGTAAATAGTGTCTTTGACTTGTAATTCTCATTTGCCTATTCCTGTTCTGGTCCAAAGATAACCCAAAGATAGGAGCTGAGCAACTGCCCCCTCTCTCTCTCTGCTCTACAGCCACACTGAATAGGTTAGTAAATGACATGGCTGAGAACAGGAATCATATCCAGTGGGTCTTCCAAATCCAGGAATTTGAGGCTAATGAAATTAGTGTGTGGCCAGGGCTCTGCCAAGTAGAATTAAATCAGTACCGCTGCCTTGCAATGCATTTTCAGCCTGGAAGCATCAGGGAGGAATTTCTGGAGATTTGTATTTGAGCCTGTGCAAAATAATACTCTCTTAATGCTAAGAAAGATTAAACATAAATTAATATTGACTATGAGTAACATATTTTGAGAAAATAATCACATAGTGGGGATGGCTTAAAGTTGAGAGGTTATATAATTTGGTAACTAAAGAATAAATCTCCTCTGACCACTGTTTTATGGGTTGTAAATAAGATATATTATACTGGGAAGTAATGGGAACATTTTTATTCAAGGCTCCTCTGTTATTGACTTGAGAGCAAACACTATGAGAGTATAAATAACTTTTGCTACATCAGATTTTGAATGAACAGTATTTTACATGTAGTGACATGGATCAGAGTATAGACTTGGAATTGAATAGCATCTCTTCCACTTATCCTCTCCCCCAAACTAACTAGATGGAAATAATGGTCAACTGTATCCTTAAGGGAGCATATGCAAATGTAAGACTGTACCAAAATTGACATACATTTGTAAATGTGTTAATATTTTTTCATCTGCTCATTGAAAAAAATACAATGTCAAACTTCTAGGATAGTATTTTATACATAAGTGCTTACACTTTCCCTTCCTTTCTACCCAGTTCCCACTCTTCTCTCTCTCCCCCTGTTCTCTCTCTTATGTAATAGAACAGAACTCAGCTCCTAGGGTAATGTGGTATTACTATAGTGGGGAATTTTTTTTAAAGGCAGCTCTATCCTACATATTTTTTAAATTGCATAAATATAGGTGTCACTGCCATTTGGAATAATCTGTATAACAATCTCTGAGTCTACATTTACTGGGTTTTAGGAAATTTACCTAACAGATGGTGAGTGGGTACTTTTTAAAGGGGCATTTTTTAAAAGAGCAGAGAGGGAAGGAATGAAGACATGCACCTGCTATATTTGAAGAGACTTCCTTGTGTATTTTATGTATATGCAACCCATATAATTAGGATGTCTTTGGGCATTTTTCCCCTGGGGAATAATTGAAGCAATGAGCAAGTTTACTTCAGTTTCACAAATGTTTGGAGTTTTGACAAACGACAACTGCTCTATTTTTTGTACCTACCTGCAGATTATGTCTTATTAGATCTAAAACACCACAGGTAGGTTACAGAGTATTCTGTAGTCTTTCTTAATCCTGTCATCAACTGGTTAAGTTACCCTCAATAAGTCACTTAATTATTCTTCACTCATTATTCTTCACTCATCTACTTCATTTGACTTTTCTCTTTAAAAAATGTAGTTTCTAATTACATATATAGAGCATAATTTTTCATATCTCTGGTTGTATACAGAGTATATTCACACCAATTAATGTCTTCATACATGTACTTTGGATAATATTGCCCATCACATTCCACCATCATTTCTAACCCCTATGCCCCCTCCCTTTCCCTCCCACCCCTCTGCCCTATCTAGAATTTGTCTATTCCTCCCATGCTCCCCCTCCCTACCCCACTATGAATCAGCCTCCTTATATTGCTGTCATATGTAAATTTTAAAAATTAATTAAAAATGTAGTTTCTAGGAGTGTCTCCTCTTTTTCTTTAGATTGGAGAAAATCTGCTCTTATCAAAACCTTCAGACACATCCTTCCAGTTCCCTGTTAGAACTTTCAGTGAGTTTGGGAGAATTTAAAAGGGTATTTTCACATAGCTGACTTGGTCGTTATTCACTAATTTCCCATATTGAGACTTTTTGGAAATTATTTTATCAGTCTGCTCCTTCATCATATAGATAAAGAATGGTAGTAGAGAAAGTGACCTTGTGGGA